AAGAGCTATTTCTGGGCCACCTAATCTGCTCTGTTAATCAGTCTATTTTTATGCTAATACCAGATTATTTTAATTACCATTCTTTCATATCAGAAAGAGAAAGTTCTCTCCCATTACTCTTTTTCCTCAAATTTTTGTTACTTACTTATTCAAATTCTCAAAAATTTTCCATCGGCATTTAATCTGGGCAAAATTCTACTTAATAAATTAATTAATTTAGGAAGAATTAATATCTTTATGAGTCTTTTCATCCTCTTTTTGAATAGTCCATTTTAGAATCTATTTAACAAGGCACCAAAATGGCTTCAGAAGGGGAGTAAAGAGTAAGACCCCAGGCCTTGCATAAAGTTGGCACTGGAAGTATCATATCAATTTATTTACTTACTAATGAACTATCAAGAAGTGAATAGAGAAAGGGATGCTAGCCCACGATGTGCCTCTTTCAAATGACTTTTCCTGTGTGGACTTGTGCCATTTTTCACCGACCTCTAAGCCTGCTTCCACCCTCACCTATTAAGTGGAAAGGATATCCACCCTGCGTGTTTGACAAGGCCACGGGAGATAAGAGGTGAAAGTATGCCGAAAAGCATGAAGTGCTGCTCAGTGTGGAGGATTATTATTAATACCAATGGCAGAGAGTGCTACCTTTGGTGAGTAGTGGGCCAAATACTGAGAGAAAGAAAACTAGCCCTGAAATTTCTTACTTGCCTTTTCCCAAGAGAAAGAACCGCACGGTCAGGTTGACAAAGATCCAAGAGAATCCCAAGAATTGTACAAGATTATACATGAACAGGTATCCTTTCTTCATGCTTGCAAGAGCTGGAAAGCAAAGGGAGGCAGTAAGCTTTTAATGGCAGTAGTCCCAGCAGAGGAGTAGACGACTTCATCCCTCTTTCCTATTTGGGTGTCCTAAGCTCCCACACAGATACCTGATCCAGGTCTTTAACAGCTTGGGTTCCTCATCCCATAGAGACACAGATATGGGAAAATTATGAGACACAGATATGGGAAAATTATGAGGAACACTGCACTCCAAGGTATGCTTTCAGAGGCTTTCCCCTTCACAGGTTTGAGGGATAAGAATACATACATCACAAACCCAAGAAGAAAAAAAGATGACTATCTTAGGAGGCATTACTCTACTCATACAATCTACAGTCTACAGTTTCTTCTCTGGAATTTTTTTAAGGTCATACAGGTCAAACCAGCTCAAAGAGCTAGAAACAGTAAAGAAAGAAAAATAAATTATGAGACTTCATCGTATATTCATTCAAGCATTAACTGAACACCCACAATGTGCAAGGTACTGTGAGGGGCACTACTGGAATACAGAGATGGTAAAGATTATGCCACCCTCAAGGAGCTTACAATCTAAAAACCATAGTACAAGATGGAGAGTTATAGGTAATGTGTTGTGAAAAGTTCAAGGTGAGAAAATGGCAGCAGGCTAGAGGAGAAAGAATCCCGGATAAGCCGGTATCTGATCTGGGCTCAGACAGATGGGCAGGATAAGGATACAACAAAGGCGGACAGCGTCAAACCGAGAGGCAGGAAACTAAGGGACATTCGTTTTGTTTGCAGCCTAAGGTTCATGAAGACACAGCCAACTGAAGAGTTAAGAAGGAGCCAATCAAAGGCAGGTATAAAGGGATTAGACAGAGTCATGGCTGAGCCAAAAGGAGTCGGGTAACAGAAAGGGGAGTTTTCAAGAGAAGAGCTATGAAGCTCAGATTTTGCGGCTACATATTTATTCCTAAACTACAGACATCCTGCATAAACACTTGACTGATGTTTAAATAACCACATTTAATACTGTGGTCAATCAAAAGCAGCCTGATCCTAAGGGGTTGGAAAAATGTCAGACTTCTAGCAACATTTAACTCATCAAAAATTTTTTCTTCAAAACTACAAAAATTATACTTCCCCATCATAAAGAGCTTCTTTCATCAGGGAACTCTATGAGTTTAGATGAAACAGCTATAGTTTTATCTAACATTCTAAAAATCTATGTCTGAGAGTTTTTATATATTTCTGAAGTTTATCCCTTTAAAAACACCAAAAGATGAATTTAAATCTCAAGGTGGCCTTTTCGTTGTTCTTCTTTGCCTTCACTAATCCTCTCCCCTCCTCTGCTTCTCTCAATTAATGGCTGTTCAAATCTTTTTTAAAAGCAATGAAAACCCTTTTCAAAAGAAATCTTATTCAGAACTCAAATACATAAAACACAAAGGCAGAGCCGGTCTGATTGAAGTGGGTCTGCTTGCTTGACCTAGCCCCCAGGGCATCTCTGGGAACCCTGGGGGCACCATGGAAACCGTTGCTCTAAAACCTTCCCTTCCTTACTTACAGCATGCCAAACAAGTGTCACTAAAACTTGGTGCAGTTCAATTTAGGGCAGATTCTGCTTTTCAGAGTTAGTTTTATTCAGACCGACATGGTCCTCCCAGAAGCACGTAAGCTCTCGGAGCACAGGTGCTAGGGTGGAGTTACCTGGCTCCACACTTCAAGGGCCTACTACAGTGCTTGCCACAGAGCATGAATTTAATAGGCAGCTGCTGAATTTAATCTATGTACCCAGAAGACGATACACTTTCAGAGTTTCTTGTTTACAAGTGGTTGGACAGACAGCCATAGGAATCGATTTTTATAAAGTTATTGAGTAGCAGGACATCTTTAAGGTTGACAACCACACCTCTCTGTGGTATAGTTCTTGAGATCTCAGTTGGGAGAAAAACTCCAAGCTGGACGGAGTATAGCCTTGGACCCGTGTAGTAATTTCCACATGTCTATTCAAGACTTGACTGCCATTTGCCATTAGACCAGCCAAGGAGACTGAGGTTCTTCCATTCTGCTATACCACCCATGGATCCCTTCAGATGATGTCACACCCCAAACAGAAGGGAAACATGAAAGGCAAGACTTCTGACGTGGGTGTACACAGCTTAAGCACCAGACATTACGGACTTCTCATAAACTCACTGGAACAGCTCACTGGGTGAAATCATTGGCTCTCCCGCCATATCACACCCCACCTCTATCGCAAGTTAAC